GCGCGTTAATCTGAGTAGTTACTGTAAATATCTATAGAGCGTGTTAATCTGTGTAGTTAATGTAAATATCTATAGAGCGTGTTAATCTGACTAGTTACTGTAAATATCTATAGAGCGTGTTAATCTGAGTAGTTACTGTAAATATTTATAGAGTGTGTTAATCTGTGTAGTTACTGTAAATATCTATAGAGCATGTTAATCTGTGTAGTTACTGTAAATATCTATAGAGTGTGTTAATCCGTGTAGTTACTATAAATATCCGGAGAGTCTGTTCATGTATTTAGATACTCAAAAAATCTGAAGAGCGTGTTAATCCGGAAGGGCAGGATCAATGTTATCTGATATCATTATTAGGTTTTTGTTAATTGTTATCATTAGATTGTGTATTACCTGTTGTCATTATTAGGTGTACGTTACTTTAGTTGACGTCATTATTGAGTTTGTGTTAACTGTTATCATTATTATGCGGTTGTGTATTAGCTATTGTCTTTATCAGGTCTGCGTTAGCTGATGTCACTATTAGGTTTATGTTAACTGTTATCACTAGTATTAAATTGTGTGTTAGATGTTGTCAATATTGGATATACGTTATCTGATGTCATTAATACATTTATGTTAACTATTATTATTGTTATTAAATTTTGTATTAGATGTTGTCATTATAAGGTCTACGTTAGTTGACGTCATTATTGAGGTTATATTAGCTGTTACTGTTACTCGGTTGTGAATTAGCTGTTGTCATTATTAGGTCTACGTTAAATAACGTCATCATTAGATTTATGTTAACTTCTATCAATATTTTTATGTTGTTTATTATTAGCTGCTGTCATTATTGGCTCTACGTTAAATAACGTCATCATTACATTTATGTTAACTTCTATCAATATTTTATGTTGTGTATTATTAGGTGCTGTCATTATTGGCTCTACGTCATATGACATCATTTTTGAGTTTATGTTAACTGTTATAATTATTATTCGGTTGTGTATTAGTTGTTATCTTTATCAGGTCTACATTATTTTTAGATTGTGTGTTAGCTGTTCTCGTTAATAGTTCTACGCTATATGACGTGATTATTAGATCTTTATTAATTGTTATCATTATTATTAGATTTTGTATTAGCTGTTGTTTTTATTAGGTCTACGTTATATGACGTCAAAATTAGATTTATATTAACGGTTATCATTATTACTACATTATATATTACTTGTTCTTATTATTGGGTCTACGTTACATGACGTCATCATTAGATTTATGTTAATTGTTGTCATTATTTTCCGATTGTGTATTAGCTGTTGCCATTATTGAATCTACGTTATATGACATCATTTTTGAGTTTATGTTAACTGTTATAATTATTATTCGGTTGTGTATTAGTTGTTATCTTTATCAGGTCTACGTTAGTTGATGTCACTAGTAGGATTATGCTAATTGTTTTCAGTATTTTATAATTCTGAAATAGCTGTTGTCATTATTGGGTCTGCTATATATAACGTCTTCATTAGATTTATGTTAACCATTATCAGTATTTTTAGATTATTAGCTGTATAGCTGTTCTCATTAACAGTTCGACGTTATATGACGTGATCGTTAATTTTATTTTAACTGTTATCATTATTACTACATTGTTTATTATCTCTTGTCATTGTTGACTCTACATTATATTACGTCATCATTGGATTTGTATTAACTATTATCATTATTATTAGATTGTGTATTAGCTATTGTTGTTATTGGGTGTACGTTATCTATCGTCATTATTATATTTATTTTAAATATTATCATTATTAGTAGGTTAAGTATTAGCTGTTGACATTAATAGATCTACGTAATATGACGTCATCATTATATTTTATGTTAACTATTATCATTATTATTAGACTGTGTATTAGAGGTTGTTGTTATTGAGTGTACGTTACCTATCGTCATTATTATTGTTACACATCTGCTCGTTTGTTAATTTCCGGTATAAATTATTTCCGAGTAACTTCAGTGATTCAAGTTATTTCTTAATTAAAACTAGTTTATTCTTCCTCGATACAACTTTGTAATACACAGAATTTCCAATCAATACGTTAAACTTAACTACTTTTATAACACACGCTATAAATCACAGTGATTCACACACTTTACTTATTGGTGGCTACAGTTCGCTTGACTCAATTATTTATCTCTTCAGTCTATCTGCCGATCTAACTATATCTCTTCAATCTATCTGCCGATCTATCTATGTCTCTTCAATCGCGCTGGTTTTTCTCGCCAGGCTTATATACTAAAAAAGAGGGCGTCTCGAACAAACTAGAGCTGCCAGGAAAATTCATGATCCTTCAAGAAACTCCAGTGCGCATGCTCCCAGGATCGCGTGACTTCCGTTGTCGTAACACTGCCCCTTCCTTAGTATTGTTCGTCCCGAACAATAACCACTTACATTAAACCAACAATAACTTAATTAAATGTACAGAATTTACAAACACAAAATTAAAATACAACAAACTCTCTTAATTTTACAGGACGTATATTCTTTCATACTGGTCTCTGTCTCATTGGCTTCTGCATAACGTCGGGTTCATTTGCTCCATCAGGAAATGTTCCATTGTCGGAAACAGTCACTTCAGTGATAGTAACTTCATTAACGGCTTCATTGTTTCCCTTCTCTAAACTGGGTAGAGTTTCTTCTTCGACAGTGGCTTTTTCAGGTGACACGTTTTCACCAGTGTCATTTGTTCTGTTGTTCACTTAGTTCCAACTGAAATGTCCTGGACCATGATAACTCTAAAGCTTGTTGGCATGTACCACCTTCGGCTTACATCGCCGACCACATTATATTCAGAAAGTCGCGTCTGAGAGACGATCCACTATGTCATGTGGACCTTCCCATGGAGAAGACAACTTTGGTCTTCCTGGGATTATACAACCACACCTAGTCTCCTGATACAAAGCTGACATCAGTAGATCTCTTATCATTACATAGCTTCATGGAATAAGCAGACGTTTTCAAGTTTGAATGCACTTGATGATGAATATCATCCATCCTTTCAGATAACACTTTCACGAACTCTGACACATTTTCAGGCAACTCTTCATAAGGTGGGTGTCCTGTTATCAGGTCCGCTGGCAACCGAAGTTCTCGACCAAACATCAACTTTGCTGGAGTGTATCCAGTGGCTTCATGCTCTGCTGTCCAATAGGCCATCAACAGTGAAGGGAGTAAGACATCACAGTCATCTTGGCGGCTGTTACAAAACTTTACCAATTCTTGTCTCAGTGTCCTGTTGTACTTTTTTACCATCCCATCAGACTATGGGTGAAGTGGCGTTGATCTCTCTTGTACCCAGGTTTGTTACAGTGCCAGCAAAGTCCCGCAAACTTCTCTGAGCGCTGCCCTTTTCTTGCCTTAAATCCTGATGACTGTACCAACCTTGGTACCTCTGTGCTGGACTTAACGTAGGATTCGAATTCATGAGCTCTGGCCATTGCATCTTGTATAGTAGATGGGTGTGCTTGCTTTACTTGTATCTTCAGTTGTGGACTGTCCAAGGCATATACAAACTGATCCTTCAGCAACAGCTTGAGAACATCGGGTGGTGCAGTTGGATAGGCCTTGTGTGCCATAATTTTCAAGTCCTGTGCCAGGTTTATTACTGATTATATGTCACACATATTCTGGTTCAAAAAATACTTGTAGAAAATGTAAATAATAACACATTCACATTGTTAATCACAGAAAAAACTGTATAGAACATTCTAATTTATTTTTGTCGGTTTATTACTGAAATTCAAACAAAAGTAAAATTTTTGAGTTCTGTGAATATCACTCACGGTATAGAGGGCTCTCGTTTTTAAAGGTATGGCGGCTTACTTTGTATGATACTGATAATAATTAACAGCACGTTTGTGAATTTTGTAAGTTGTAACACAGAAAACTAGGAAAGAAGCAGAAAAAATTACGGCTTGAGTTTTATCATAATTTGAACAAATTTATAGTTTAGATTATAGGTTATTATTTTAACATATATGAATGATACTGATTGTTAAGTTTATTTTAACTGTAATTTTTAACTTGAACTTAAACTTTCAAGTATACTGTATAGTAACTTGATGTTTAATTATAAAATGATTATTGCATTATTTATTCTTACCCTAATTCTGATTTGTAAATGACTTCAATAAAGTTCATAATAGTTACACTTAATCAAATCAATTTACTTCATGTCATAACATTTGTTTTTATACTATAAATTATAGTACCACGACCTCTAATAAGTAAAAATAAAATATCATCAGTATATGATTATGAGTATATCCCAGTTGGCCTGATGAGACCTGGTATTGAGTGAAACTGAAACTTTAAAAGGCCTCATCTGTCATCAGCACTGGATGTTGCATATATAGTGTGATTGACATAGTATCACACATTCGTCTTTACCTTCACTCAGAAGGTTTTATAATAATTGTTAGTACTAATGAATAATGCTAGTACTGTTTATATATTAGTATTACAGCAACAAGTTTTTAAGTGTCAGACTAACTTCTAAAACATTAAAGCTAGTCAGACTTGGGGTGGCCTGAGGAGTAGCCGTATCTATATAACATAGACCATTCACATGAAGGTTTTTAGGGTCACTGAACCCAAATCTGGCATTAGATTTTGTGTTTCTGGCTTCCTCTAAGGATCCTGAGGGCACCATGTTTGAAAACTATTTATACCCCCATTCACAAGGATGCCTGCCTGTGGTACTTGTGTTAAATTTGGTCTCAATAAGGCTTTTTGGGGATAAATACCTCCCCTTGGAGTAGCTGTAGAAGTAATTTGGGGTAATGGAGGCATTTGATTGTTCTCTGTGAATTGTGAGGAGACCTTTTAATTTTGTAGCAGAGCACAGCTATTTTATGTTATTGTATGTTAATTAGAGTTAAATGTACGGCAGTTAAAGATTCAAGAATGGTAAAAATAACTGTCTTATAGTAAGGCATGTAGCAAAAATAATATCTATATTATGTTTATATATATATAATATGCTAACATTATTAATAGGCAAACCATATAGTCAAACTGTGAGATAGATCGTACATATTAACATAACACTAAAGGATAGCAAGGGTCCTTTTAGTCCATCTAGGCTGTCCTATTCATTAAATTACACTAAACCCTTAAAAAAAACTTAAATCCAGCTCTTATCATGCAAATATTTATCAAATTTTTCCCTTAAACTCCCTTCAATTAACTGCATCCACCACATCTGAAGGCAGCTTGTTCCAAGGCCAGTATTTAAAGCTCTTTGTTTGTGGGACATTTGAGTCTTGTAAAGCTCATACTGTAAAATAACGTAATTATTAAAACATCCTTAGTATTTGATAAACTGATTTTTTTAGATCTTTCAATAGACAATCCAAGGTCAAAGGAACATGATAATGCAGTACTTGTGTGTGCACATAGAGCTTTATTTGGCATTAGACTCATGTTACACTTATTAGTTGTCTATCAGTTTGATACTTAAAATATCCTTCTAGCATTTGAAAAGCAAAAATGTTGAAAGTTGTTGCTTTTTATAGTGCTCTATAATGTTAATAAAAAAAATTTGAAATCTTAGAAGTTTCAACAAATATTTTAGTTTGCATTACATTGTTAAGTGATTGAAGGGCTGTGTAGCTTAGTGGCTTCACTCTTTGGACTCGTGGTGAGTTTGAGTCTGGCCTGTTTCATGCTGGTGTGTTCTTGAGCAAGACACTTTACCACACTTGGTTCAGCCTACCCAACTGTATGATGGATATCTGTTGTTGGCTGGAGGTGAACCTGCAATGGACTGCCATCCTGTTCAGGGTAGATGGGCATCATTCTCATCTGCTTGTGCCACTTGAAACCAGAGTTTGATAGCACTGACTCTATGTACCTTGCAAAAGCAATTTGTTTCAATCTCTGCCTCTCAGTGAACTCTTACTGTCTCATTTAAATCTAGTTTTGATTATATGTCATGATGAAAATTTAAACAAAGATACATAAATAAAAAGCTAGTAAGTTTTTTATGTTTTTATTTGTAATTTTGTATCAATTATTTTTTTAATTTTGTGCATTGTAATAATTTTTATCAGCAATATGGTATTTTTTCTACATTAATTCCCATGGTATTATGAACATAACACTGTGTTCTTCACTCTGGTACTTCATTATAAACATTACATTGTGTTCTTTGAACTAGTATTTCATTATGCACATAACATTGTATTTTTTGCACTAGTACTTCATTATGACCATAACATTTCTTTGTTCTAGTATTTCGTTATGAACATAACATTTCTTCTTTGCTCTAGTACTTCACTATGGACATAATATTGTTGTACATGTAACTTTTTGAATTACCTGAACTTTGTTTTAATACAGTTTCTATACATTGCCTGAGTTCTATAAGTGTTCATTTGCCCAAAATAAAACAGTGAAGTTTAGTATGTAAAATTTATACTTAAATATGCAAAATATATAAAGAAATATGATACATAATATTTATTGATTTACTGTGGCATCACCAAGCAACATTAAACATGCTGTTTTATAAACTTAAATGGCAATTATTAAAGCAACCATCTAGTTCTGAACATTTATTAAACAGATAGAAAGGAGATCCAGGATCATTATGTACAAATAATTTAAGATGCCTCTTTGTTATTTAACTTGTAACAAATTTTTAGTGTTTGTAATTGTATGTGTATTACTGTCTGATTATGCTGTGATAAACATCTAATATTTCATAATCATAGTTTAGTTATCCCATCTAGAATGAATGATCTTTTGTTTAATAGATGAAAAAAAAAAGTTAAATCTTCAGAAATCCACAATTTGCCAGTTAAAAATAGTTTTGTTTAGTCCCACATTTCTTTTTCTGTTAATTAAAATATTTATGACCCTATTTTGATTACACAAGTTGTATTATCTTTTTTTATGGATTTCATTTTAGGGCTGAATTACTTGTGTTTTATTTTTCTTCATATTAAAAAGTTTCACCATTGTTTTTTTATGATGTAACAGTCACTATGTAGATGCATAATCATTTTTACAGGGTTGAGTATGTTTTATGTAAATAGTTTTAAATATGTAAATCATCAAATTCTTACATGAAAGCCACAGCCTATATAAAGTCATGATGAAATGATATGTGTCGGAACTGCATATTGACATGTATGGCATTTTTTACATAGTGTGGGGCTTCTGAAAATTGACTGCTTTTGGGAAGTGTCTGTAGCAACCTTTTCTGTACTTAGATTGCGTATTCAGATTGGGAATTTGGAATTTTTAAGACAGGGATATATATATATATATCTTCTCTTCCAGAATGACCTAAATCCCAATTAGTTTGGGGTTGAACAGTATTTTTGTAAGTCAAGAATTTTCACACCTGGATGACTGGCCCAGATGGCAACTGTATAGGATGAGCATGTTTTGTGACAAGGAATTGAACTTGCAACCCTCAGATTGCAAGTCGACTACCCTAACCACTAGACCATGCCAGTCTCAAGATAAGGATATATATCTTTTGTACTTAATAGTATTGAAAAACAAAGGAAAAGTATGACATTTTGTAACATGTGAGAATCCATGAACATAAAGGTAAGTGGCAAAAGCCATCCATATATTCCAAGTAACAGCATGCAACATAATCAAGAAGGATTTTTGTTTGGTAACAAAACCAATAGGATATGGATTCACCAAGACAAGGCTTCCGGTTATACCTCATGTTCAATTGTCACATACTTCAAGCAGTTGGAGAGTAAAACTGGTATTCATTCATGCTCCCATACAAAGACATACTGGTCAAGTTATTGGATGCTGAAAAACAACCATCTTCATACACTAGACAGCTTATGGAAAGCCAACAGGGAGGAATGGTGCATGATGGACATGACAGCCTTATGATGGTATCTTTTGCAGTGGAAACTCTGCTGTAAGGCGATTTTCAAGATACACTTTTGTCATATATTACATGACTAGATGTGGCAACATGGACTGTAAAAACATGTAGAGGCTCCAAAATAATTTTAATATAATGAACTCAACTCTCTGGGTGATCTGTATGTGTTTAAAACATTTATATGTGATTCTAAAAACTATAAATTCTTTCAGGTCATGCAACATTATGGATGCTCTAAAACAACATTATACAATTGTATTCTCTCAAGCCTTTTCACCTTGTGGTAAATATTTAGCAGCTGGAAATAATTATGGAAAAATTGGAGTGTTTAGGTATGTTTCACTTGACTATAATACTCAATCCTTGTGCTGTTCTTAACATTCATACTTACAATACTATCTAATGACTAATGTGTGAATAGCAAATCATGCATTTTTATGGAAATGCCATTGAGAGGGAGATTCAAAGTTTGTTGCAATGAGAGTGCAACTTTGAATTATTTTTTAAAAACCATTTGAACTGCTATTTAACTTATTCTAAAACTTGTAAAATGATAAATTCATTTTTTAAAAGAACAAATTTTATTTAACTTTCCTATGGTTTGTAAATATTTACATAAAAGTATGAAGTAACTGTATTAGCATTTTGAAGATAATATTCACTCATTGAGAAAAAACCTTGAATGAAAGTATTGTGCTGGACTAATCATTTTAGCCCATTATTATGAATCTCGTCAGTCCAAGTTTCACTGTCTAGGGAAGGAATGATGTTAATTATGTGTTACGTATATACACTTCATGTCTTTGTAAAGGATTCTTGAACACTTCAAAAATGTGATTTTTAAGTTAAAAAATTTTTAAATGTGTATATTTTTTAATATAAGCATTCAAAAATGTTTCAAAATAATTGTGATATAAAAACTGCATACTGTTGTTTTAGAATCAGATATAGGAGTATGGTAAATCATCAAATTGATGAAGGCATATAACACTTTGATTCTTTATCATGTTGATTTCTACCTAATCTACTTTATGAATAATTTCAACAATGAAACAGGTATTAAAAATTAAATAAGTGTACTTAACTTTTATCTGTAAACATAATCTAAATATTATAAAATGTATATATATATACTAAATAACTTTTGAATTTTCATATATTTGTTAGAAAATGGTAAAGAGATTTCAAGGTCAAGTTTTTTCTCTTGAAAATATTTAGGATTGTGTATCTATTTTAGGAGTCAAGATATAGTAATATAAATTTTTTACTACTAATATAAATTGTTTTTCTGTCTTTTAAGAATGAAATGTAACTTTTTTTGTTCTATTAGTCAATATACAAATTCAGTTAAGTTTTAGATTATAAGTTTTTATGTGTATTATTTGTAGAAAAATGTGAAAAAAATTCTAATTTTCTCAGAAACTTTCATCCTTTGTATTGCTGCATTATCCTTTGTTTTCGGGTAATTAGAGTTATGTCTGCACTTTTGTAGGAGCCAGTGTTTTCATTTAACTACATTTTTAGCAAAATATTTTCAAAATCTGATGTGAGTGATCCTGTTAACAAACTTAAAATGTACAACACTTTCTAAAATCACAGTTTGAAAGTAGTAGGTTAGGATAGTAAAAAAGGATTAGAGAAACCATAAATTAAAGACAGATCCTTATAAAAAAGAGGGTATACTAAGGTGCAAAACCATGAGCTATAGCAAAGGAAGCTTCTCTTAGGCAACCACAAGCAACAATATCAAATAGTTTTGAAACTCTGGCTGTAGCTGAAGGAAAGAGGGAGAAATAATATGAAGTATTTTTAGTAGGGGATTATAAAATTATCTTGAACATAGATTCTTTTGTAGAGGAGGATACTGAAATAGTGCCTGAATTTGCTAACAGTAAACAGACTTGCAGCAAAGACAAAATGGTTTTTGTTGTGCATATTGGTACATGTATTGCTGGTAATGGAAGATCAAGAGAATTAATAACAAATACAAAGAGCAATTGCAGAATTTTAAGGACAGAAAATGCCATGTTTCCTTTTTAGGAATTATTTCTTGTACTAGATGTAGTCATAAAGTTTTCAGTAGGTATAAATTTTAACAAGGAACTATTGGGAATATGTCTAAATTATCAGATTAATTGGCTTTATTTCTAGGATGGGTTTAGGGTAGATAAGACCAATGTTACTGCAACAGTCTTCAGTCATTTGATAAAGTGTTTGGGGAAGCAATAAGAGATTTCTTTGAGGATTTTTCAAACTAGGATATGTTACAGTTAAGAGTAGTTTTTGACATTAAAAAATAATTTTAACTTGGTCTGTGAAAGATTTGTGATTGTGGTATTCAAATAAAAAGTATCCACAAAAAGTAGGTTCTAGAAATTTTATGCAGAGGGAAAAATGAACATGGACATAAGGAAATTAAACAAACATTTTTTATTCATACACAATGTGAGTGTACTTTTTGACTTACTGGCTTGGTTATATTTCAGTTTTGTATAGGCCTTCCTTAACTGGTTGTGGGGGTAGAACAGGATAAAATGAAAAACCTGTTTACACTGAACAAAAATGAGTTCAAGAATAATGAAGTACCACACAGTTAAATCAGACCAGAGTCCTAGTGAAGTATTCCACATTCCTTACATTACTAACATTAACATTAAATATCTTTTTAAGATAGATAAATCTCCAACTCATACTAAATTGTGCAAGTTTCAGTACCACCTCTTGTTATGAGTATGATCCCACTCCAGAAGGAATTGACACAGAAATAGGGCTAACCATATGAACAAATATTGTTGTTTGTAAATTTTGACTACAGTAGAGGATTAGTGCAACTTTATAACCTTTTAAGATCCAATTTACAAGATGCCACTAAATACTTGCAATTTAGAATAATGTATATGAATAAAGACATATTCTTTATTAGTTACTGAAAAGTAAAATATAGTGATATTTTCAGTCATCACATGATGAATGATTTAAGCTATTTTAAATTAATATTAGGGATAAATGCAGCACAGAATTAATAGCTTTGGTTTGGTCTTTGCAAGTTTTATATCATTGGTATTACTGAGTCATGATTACTATAATTTGAATTTGGGTTTTAAGTTATATGATGGAAACTGTGTAAAAGGGGAGAGAAAATTCATTTGTTTGTCAGAAATAATCTAAATGCTTATGAGAGACATTGTATCTCAGGAGTTGTTAATGTAGTGTGTATGAGTTGTTAAATGGGAAAGGGAAAAATTATTGGCCAATTTTGACTAGTGAGTTCCTTCTTAGAAACTTGTTTATTATGTGTCAGTAATGGAGACTAATCTATAAGCAGTAAGCTTTGCAAGCTTGCTCATGTTACTAAACTGCTAGGTAAGTCCGATACTTTGGAAAAATCTCTTCAATGCAGAAAGCCTTGGCCAGTCTTATTGAGTGGGCTAATCTGGGGAGAATAAGCTTCAATATTGATAAATGTAAAGTGATACATTTAGGTTAGAGAAATTGGGCAGGATTTTATTTTTTGTGAAGAAGAAATATTTAGTGTTGTGGAGAGTGAGAAGAATTTGTGTGATGATTTATAAAATCCTCAAGCCATTGGTTGAATGTTAAGAAATGTTAAAAAAGAACAAATAAAATTTTGTAATATTTACAGAAATTTTAAGTTCAGGAAAAAGGGAGTTATCATCACATTGCATAAAACTTTGATAAGGCCTCAGTTGAAGTATTCTGTTAAGTTTTGGTCAGATGTGTAAAATTATTAGGGGTTTGAATATAATGCTGATGGGAGGCTTCTTGGAGTGTTGAAATGATAAGGCAGTAAATGAAATCATATATATATATATTTGAGAAGATAAGTATAAGGTGTATAAGACCTGGTTCAAGCTATTATTAGGCAGTTGCTTTTTCTCTCAAGTAGAAGTTTTAATTTGTGGAATGATTTGCCAGCTGGTGGTGTGTGTGCTGGTAATTTGAATTCTTTTATGTTTTTGTTGGATAATTTTATGGATTCACAGGGTTATATTGTGGTTGTCCTTGGGTCATTGTTGGTTGACCCTCAATAGGCCAAATGGTCTTCTGTTACCTAATTTTATTTTTTGTTCTTATAAATCAGATTATTACTGAACTCCATCAATTTAACGTTTTTGGAATGATGCACTTAAGACATTACTAAACTTGATGAAATGATATTTTTGAATTTTCTAGTTTATCAGGATTTTTGAATGAAGAAGAAAATAGCTATCCAAAACATGAAAGTAAATTTCCTGTTTGTACTTTGCAAGGTAAGTTTGGAGCTTAAGATTTAATACACATGCAAAGAATTCTCAATGTTTCATCTATATGCACACACACTTGAAAATGGAGTTTGAGTTACATACAGTGTAACAAAGTGTACTTTAATAGGAAAAAGAAAACAAATTTGGATGTAAATAATTATGAAAATGACAGTTTATTACATAATTTCAGACATGTGCAAAACATTTTCAATTTCATAAACACATGATAGGAAATATAGTTTTACTCTACATAATAAGACTCACGATCCATCCATTGCTTAACATATTTTGTCAATAAACTCTAAATTTGTTTTTCTAAATTTAAAATATTCTTTTCATAAATGGAAAATTGGTAAGGATTTTTATAAAACTTATTACAAATGCTTCTGTGTTAAACACACTGTAAATACAAAAATGAACTCTTGCTATAAACTGAGTGCAGACAGTAAATGAATGATTGAAACAAAATTATTATCTAAATCCCATTCATCTGTTTGCTGAAATAATAAATGGTTCATAGATATGATCTAAGTTATGTTCATGCAGCTGTTTGTAATTTTGTAAGCAATTTTACAATGTGTATACAACTTTATTTAACTATATAAATGGTCTCTAAACTTTTCAAATGTAGTTAATTATTTTAGTAATCTTCAATGTTAGAACACTTGAAGCCATGGTTGGATTATCATAGAGCTTGAACAAGTTGCAAGTTTTTGAGGAAATAAAACTTAATATAGAAATTTTTGAAGGTATATAGCTGTGGATCTTTAGAAAATTTCTATATTTATATGTTTAACAATTGCTCCACCTTGTCAGAAGCAGCCTGGAATATTACCTAAGTTATGGTAAATTGATTAATAAATTTGAATTATCTTGTTAGAAAAATTTACGAAATTGCAAACGACCCAATAACTAGAATTTTTGTCTTTAACTTCTGATTTGACATTTGTTATATACTTCAGTTCAGTTACTTTTCTGTGCTAGCTCTTGGTATGTCCACTTATTTATCATACAATAGTAACAAAAAATATATACGGAAGTGTAAACTGATTGAACCAGATCTATTAGAAACAAATTTTTACTAAGACAAGTGATATTTGGTATTCCCAACAAATGTGTTTACTAAGAAGTAAGCATTTTAGTCGTGGTCCTACCTTGCTTTTTTGAAAATATCGAGATATTAATTAAAACACATGAATCATTTCATTTGTTTCATATTTTTATGAGACACCAGCAAAAATAGAATAAATTCCTAATAATTGGAAATTAAAGTAATATCCTGTTGTCTTAAACTTTAACAATAAACATCTCGCCTAGAATTTAGGTCCAGATCACAGTATTGTGTGATTGGGAGAATGATATTGTTGGCTTTTTTAGTCAAAACAATCAGGTTGAGTAACTTTAATGTTTATAACAGTATCAGAAGTATTGGTTGACAAATAATGATTAATGTATTAAAGGAACATTTCATATATACTAGGACTGCTGGTGACAAAAATAGTTAGATTAATCATAATAACTATTTAGTCTTGCTCAATTAAACGAAAAGTTTCTTTCCATTGAGATTTGACTAATTGGTTCAGAAACATTACCTGCTAAGTTCAGTAGAGTTATGAGATTATAAACACCTAGTCTCAAGAAAGCAACATCTTTTTTTACAAGAAAATGCTAGTGTTTACCAGATGTTAGTTGAAGCTACAGTTTTTAACATATAATACGTTCATATTAAAAGGCATGTTACAGTTTATTGATTCATGAATGAAAGCAACGAAGGAGACATTTCAGGCATGTATAAGACTGTATTGCATCAGCACTGTTATTTTATAGCTCATTGATGGTACATTTGTATTACTCGAGATGATTTTAGTGATCACATTAAAAAAAGTTATTTAAAATCAAAGATCCATATTTTACACAGCTTGTTATAAATCCAAATTTGATAATTATTTGTAGAAGTAGATACAAAGTATAAAAAAAAGATTTTCAGAAAGTCATTTTTGTTCTGAAATGATTAAACAAATATTATCACTTTGATTCTCTATAGGTTTGATTATGTTATACTAAAATGTTTTTGAGTATGCATATCATCAAGTCATGACAAACACACTAACAGTTGAATGGCTTGCATCAGAACTACATTTTGGCATTGTTTGATGTTTCATAGGTAGTACGATGGCACTAAAAATTGATAACTTTTTGGAAATGTATGTAATAGTCCTTTCTGGCTAATCATACATTTACATCATAAAGATAAGTTCAAATCAGGGATTTAGAGATATCCCTTGGACTTATTTACATTGGAAAACAAAGGAATATAGATAACTTGAGGAATCAGGACCATAGTAAGCAAAGTGGAACAGGTTAGAATCCAAGCACACAAAGATTAGTAACAATAGCTAACTACATGCCCAACCAGCAGTATACAATATAATCAAGAAGAGTCTCCATAGTGGTCAGTTCACTGAATGCAGCACACATGGATTTCTTAATAATTGGACTGTGGAAATGATACTAGGAATCCATTGTCCTCAAATATTAAATAGCTCATGGAAACCTGTAGAGAAGAGGGGTATGGCTAAACATGACAGTCTTACAACAGAACCTTTTGCAACATAAATTATGACATACAATAAAGTATGGCCATTGCTAAAATTGACAGTCATTAGATAGAGCATAGCAACATTAGACTATAATGACATGGTGACATTGTTTTAATGTAATGCAATGCACTCAACTTCTGTGTATGTATATATATATATATATATATATATATATATATAAGTACTACGAAACCTACTGTGTAGTAGGAAGAGTATAAGTAAAAATAGTAGTAGGGTAAAGGTAGTTATGACTAAACTTACGTTAGGTTTAATTAA